TTTGGGTCACACCCGGCGATGCTCAGGGGTTACTCCTGGCTCTGCACTCAGGAATGACTCCTGATGGTGCTCAGTGGACCATATGGGATGCTGGGAAATCGAACCCGGGTCGGCCGCGTATAAGGCAAATGCCCTACCCGCTGTGCTATCACTCCAGCCCAAGAACAAAAGTTTTAAGGGGGCGGGGTGAGGAGAAGGTTGAGGCAGGAGTGATAGTACAGCAGGTAGTGTGTTTGCCCGGCCTGCAGCTGACACAGATTCAATCCCCAGCACCAATATGGTCCCCCAAGCCCCACCAGGAGTGATTCCTGAGTGCAGGGCCAAGAGCGTTCCTGAGCACTAGTGGGCATAACCAAAAAAAAAAAAAAAGAGGAAATGTTCAACATCTGTTTATTGAATTAAAACACTTCAAACAGAACTAGAAGGAAAGCACAGCCTTGGCACATGCAAGGCCCTGGGCTCCATCCAGGGACCACTTGGCCCGCATTACCACTAACTGTGGCCCTGAGCACAGCATTCTGTACGGAACCAAGCTCTGCCATGATACCTTCCTGGCCCCCTTTAAAAGCAAGGGTTGGAGAGATAGCAGAGCAAGGTAGGATGCTTGCACATGTCAATCCTGGCACAATCCTTGACACCCCCTAGGGCCCCATGAGTACGTCCAGGAGTAGTCCCTGAATTCACACAGCCAGGAGCAAGTCCTGAGCAATCACCAGGTGTGGTTTCCAAACCAAAGATAAATAAATACAATTAAAAAGCAGGTTTAATTCATGCTTTTTTGGGTTTTCTTTTGTTCTGGAGCCATACCCAGTGATGCTCAGGGGGTACTCCTGACTTTGCACTCAGGAGTTACTCCTGGTGGTGCTCAGGGGACTATATGGGATGCGGGGGATTGAACCCGGGTCGGCCACTTGCAAGGCAAACACCCTACTCACTGTGCAATTGCTCTGGCCCCTAATTCATGCTTGTTTTCGAATATAGTCGTTAAAACGTGGTGACTCCCCAATTTATCAGGATTTCAAATCATCCACATGACCATAAGAGAATAGATATGGACTGTTCACTATTTTACTTTGCTAAGTGACAAGTATTTCATAGGAGTCACACTTGGTGAGGCAGGGGGTCACTCCATGCATGGTTCTCAGGGGTCACTCCCAGTGGTGACCCAGGGAGTGACTTTTAAAGTCACTTTACCATGCTGGGGACCCAGGCTCCTTCGTGCACAGCGTGTGCCCTCTGGACCGTCTCCTTGACCCCAAGCCAAGATATCTTTTAAAACTACGATTGATTGATTGATAACGAACAGTTCCTTGTTAAAGGGCGTTTGTACATCACTGACATTTGGATTAAAGCTTTAATCCTCCGTTTACAAAGAGCTGGTGGATCTGCGTCAACCTACTTAGACAACAAATGGATACATTGACGTGTCTGCCATATAAAACTGTTACCAGAAGCTTTTTCCAGTTGTTACTTTGCGTGTCATTGTTTTTCCTGTCCATTTGGGGTGGGGTGGGGGCCAGTACTCGGCCCCTCTTCAGCAACTGCTCTTTGTGAGAGATTACTTTCCGGAAGGAAGGAATAATGACTGACACTTATAAAGCACCACGCAGTTTTTCTCCAGGGGGAAACTTTGAGGCAGAGAGAGAGAGAGGGGGGAGAGAGAGAGAGAGAGAGAGAGAGAGAGAGAGAGAGAGAGAGAGAGAGAGAGAGAGACAGACAGAGACAGAGAGACAGAGAGACAGACAGAGACAGACAGAGAGACACAGATAGACACAGAGAGACAGGGAGAGACTGAGACACAGAGAGGAGCTTTGGCAGAAGGCAGTGATGTCCCTGTCCACTTCCTTGCAAGCCAGTCAGCCGGGAAGAGAGACCTGGCGGTTGGCAGCCAGTTGGGGGTGGGGTGGGAGGGTGACCTCTGTGTCCACTCCCCCAGCACGCAGCCGGGGGCAGTCTCCAGGCTAAGGGCTATGCCTCCTGCAACTGGCCAGTCCCAGAAGGGCTAAGGGCTGTGGGGTTTAGTCCGCCGCTTCTATCTTGAGGGTAGATCCGGGATTCCTGGGGAACACCCAGGGCGGGACAGACACCTGTTCCAGGCACTGTCCCAGGATCGGAAGTTCCTCTCTCAGGGACTCCCTAGAGGAGGAGGGCGTGTGCTCCCTGCTTGCTCCCCTCTATGGGGTCGCCCTGACCCATGGCCCACGAGCAGGCATGTGGACAGCAGCTCGTGGACATGACCCCTAGGGAGACAGTGCTGGGGCACAGAACTGACCCTCTTCCTCTGTGAAGGCAGACTTGGGGGCTACATAAGCCCTTCTCTGTCCCCCAGCCTTACAAAGGGGCACAGGGGGTCTCCCCTCTCAACCCCCCTGACCCACTCTGTCCTCCTACCCCAGACCTCCTCCGGCGTTGCTTATGTGAAGGTGCAGGGGACAGGAAGGGGTGGAGAAGCGAGCCTGTGTGTGCAGGGATGGGGGGAGGCCTGGAGAGGCGGGGGGTCTGAGGGGAGCCCCCTCAGGGGCCCCCTGCCTGTCTCCCTGCATGTCCAGAACGAGCACAGACCCACAAACCCAGAACAGGTTCTGGCCTAGCCCGAAAATTGGCCTCCCAGGATGGGCCCCTTCGGGAGGGCGGGCAGTCTCTGGGGGCAGGTGCTCCTCACTCCCCCTTTCCCTTCTGTGACTTTTATTTGGGGGGGTTGGGGCCATACCTGGAAGTGCTCCGAACTTACTCCTGGCTCTGCACTCGGGGATCTTACTCCTGGTGGTGCCCAGAGGCTGTAAGGGGAGTCAGGGTTTGAACCCGGGTCTGCCGCGTGCAAGGCCAGTGCCCTAACCTGCTGTACTATCGCTCTGGTCTGGTCCCTGTCTATTGTTTTGTCTTTAGATTTTCCTGATCCTGGAAAGACAAGCTAGGGGTCCCCTTCCCACCTAGCCCAGCTGGGCAGCTGTCACCTGTTCCTCTCCACACCACACTCGAAACCTACAAAACCTTCTCTCAAGGGGGGGGGGGTTTCCTGCCGGGAGCCCGAGGCTGTCTCTGTGCCAGTGAGCATGGTGGGGACCCCCAAAGGCTTATTAGCTGGCTTGTCCTGGAGGGTCCCTTTCTAGGCGCCTCATCTGCTCACCGGGCACCAGGCCAGCTGTCCCATTACCCGGGGTCAGAGCTATGGCAATTCCTGGCTCACGAGTCCATCGTCAGGGCCAGGGAGGGAGCCCAATGGGCAGAACACAAGCCTGGCAGGCAGGGGTGCCAGGGTCATCTCCGGAACCACATGGTCCCCTGAGCAGAGCCAGGAGTGAGCCCAGAGCAGATCAAGAGCCCCTCAAAGACCACTTCAGAGGGAAAAATCCACAGGGTGGGCAGCAGGGATGGGCTGCCCAGCACTGGACAAAGCAGCAGGTGTGGGGGTGGAGGTGCTGCTGCCCAGGGCCATGGGTTGACGGCCTGCTCAAGAGAATGGCTTCCTCAGGGCTCGAGTACAGTAGGGAGTACTGTACAGATAGTACAGTAGGGAGGGCATTTGCCTCGCACATCGCCAGCCTGGGCTCAATCCCTGACATCCCACAAGGTCCTCTGAGCACTGCCAGGAGTCATTTCGGAGTGCAGAGCCAGAGTGACCCCTGAGCACTGCCGGGTGTGGCCCCAAAACAAAATATAAAAAATAAATTAAAAAAATTTAAAAAGAGAGCAGCTTCCAGTCTCCATCTGACTCCAGCATCGAACCCTGGCTGGTGCATGGGGGGAGCAGACAGGCATCGGGGGAAGGGCCTTGGCCCCCAGACCTCAGGCCAGGGATGGGGCCCTGAGCCACTCTGTGCTCAGCAGACATGCCCCTTCCTGGGGATACCCCAGCTACCAGGTACCCCAGTGACTAGCCTGCAGTGTGACATCCGTGTGCAACTCAGTGTCCTGTGTCTTGTGTGCTGGGATGCCCCTGCACAAGCTGGTATGTACTTCCTGCCTGAGCCTCAGACCTCCTGGAGGCCTCTCGGGCCCCTGGATTCCTCCCGTGACCTGGCCCTGCCTCCAGCCCCTCGCTGTTCTCTCAGATCTCTGGAACGAGCTTCCAACCGACCTTATCACGGACACCCTGTTTTGTATTTGATCTTCTGGCTGCTCCCACGGGTGTGTTTTGTCTTTCTGCCCGGAATATCATTCAAGGCCGGGGACTCGTAGAACAAATAACAAGAGGTGAAGGCCACCGGCGGGGCTGCTCCCTGGATTCCGGCCCAATCCCTCCCACCTGCAGCTAGCGAGGAGCTCCCCAGTTGGGCTGACCCCCGGACGGCGGGAGGAAGGAAGCTCAGAGCACAGTAGTCAAAGAAGTGCCCTCCAAAGTCTGGACGTCTGGGGCCGGAGCGATAGCACAGCGGGTAGGGCGCTTGCCTTGCACACGGCCGACCCGGGTTCGAGTCCCAGCATCCCATATGGTCCCCCAAGAACCGCCAGGAGTAATTCCTGAGTGCAAAGCCAGGAGTAACCCGTGAGCATTGCTGGATGTGACCCAAAAAAGATAAATAAATAAAGTCTGGATGTTTGGGGGGGAAAAGGTATTTCAGGGCCATGCCCAGCAGTGCTCAGAGGCCGTGCAGTGCCAGGGATCAACTCCACGACTCCCGCAGAACCACCTCGTGGGCTCTGACTGTTCTTGCTGTTTCGGGATGGGACAGGCGGACCGAGAAAATCACAGGAAGGAACAGAGGGTCTCAGGCACCGGGTGGAAGGGGCAAGGCCGGGTCCGGGAAACCCTGGCGGCAGCCCTGTTAGCACCCCGAAGCCTTCCTCCTTGTCCACACTGACCCACCCAGCCGCGGGCCTGTGTCACGCCAACGTCAGTCCACACCAAATGAAGCCAGTATTTTATTCACACATGTAGAACAAGTCGGTACAAAATAAGGTTTGTGTTATCAAAAAAAAAAAAAAAAAACCAAACCAGCCACTGGGTGCTAACCCCCGCCCCCTCCCCGTGTCCCCCACCCCCACCCCAACTCCCCGTGATCCCCACCGGCTCCGGGGACCGCTCAGCTGCCGCCGTGCGCCTCGTGCAGGAGCCGGAGCAGCGGGTCGTCAGCCCGGAGGGCGAAGGTGAGGGTCCGCCGCTGGTAGTAGGCGGGGTCCTGCTCCAGGTTCTCCATCACCTGAGCCAGGAGGTGGGCGCGCTCCACCGCCGTGCCGGGCGCCTCGAAGCCCAGGGCCGTGAAGTGCACGTGCAGGTGGTAGTAGGAAGGGAGGTAGTGCAGGTACACGCGCAGGCGCTCGGCCGGGACCTGGTAGCGCTGCAGGATGGCGGCCTGGGGAGACGAGGGGCACAGCATGACGGGCCCGCGGCAGCCGGGGACGGGGGGAGTGCGCCCCGCCCTGAAGAGACGGTCAAGGAGTGTGGCACCGAGTGGGATTCGGGAATCAGGAGCGGGGATGGGGCTGAGCTAAAGTTGGGTGCAGATGGGGCTGGAGCGATAGCACAGCGGGTAGGGCGTTTTGCCTTGCACGCGGCCGACCCGGGTTCGATTCCCAGCATCTCATAGGGTCCCCCGAGCACCGCCAGGAGCAACTCTGGTGCATTGCCGGGTGTGACCCAAAAAGCAAAAACAAACAAATAAATAAATAAAGTTGGGTTCAGAGGGGCTGGAGTGACAGCACAGCGGGGAGGGCGTTCGCCTTGCACGCGGACGACCCGGGTTCGATACCCAGCATCCCATATGGTTCCTCAAGCACCGCCAGGAGTAATTCCTGACTGCAGAGCCAGGAGTAACCCCTGTGCATCACCGGGTGTGACCCAAAAAGTAAAAATAAAGAAATAAATAAAGTTGGGTTCAGAGGGGCTGGAGTGACAGCACCAGCGGGGAGGGCATTCGCCTTGCACGCAGCCGACCCGGGTTTGATACCCAGCATCCCATATGGTCCCCTGAGCACCGCCAGGAATAACTCCTGAGTGCACGAGCCAGGAGTAATCCCTGAGTGTGACCCAAAGTGTGCCAAGTGTGACCCAAAAAGAAAGAAAAAAAAAAGAGTTGGGTGCAGAGGAAGGAGGGGTGGGGGCAGTGCTGCCCCTTTCAGACACCACGACGGGACAGCGTGGCCAGTCCACTGGGTTCCTGGTGGAAAGGAGGAGAGCTCGCTGCCCATCCTGGGCTCTGGGCACGGCTCCCTGAGGCTCCCTAATCTGAGACGAGCAGACACTGACTTCCACTCGGCAGTCCGAGGAACTGGGGAAGAGGAGGACAGATGAGGGCGTCTGTGCTCTACCTTCGGGGCACAGCCCAGGGCTCGACAGCAGGTCAGAGAGACCAAGCCCAGGCATCCAGAACCTTCCAGAACAAGCCCGAGTGGCTGCTGGGGAAGGCAGGGCAGCAGCTGTACTGGCCTGGGAAGCTGTGTTCCCAGAGACATGCCACCAAGGGCCCAGCAGAGAGGTGCTGTGGACAGGAGGGAGAGTAGGTAGCCTCGGTCCCCCATGACTGGACCCCTCGGGGGCTCTCTCCGGACCAGCAGGCCCTGGCACAGCCCACAGCATCCTGCTGCATCTCAGGACCCCCATGGAGTGTGGGTCAGGAGGGCCGTGGGCCCAGGGGCATGGGGTCGCTCACTGCCTCGGGTCCAAATGACACAACCTGAGCCTCTTCCCCATTTCCCCATGGCCCCCCGCCCCTGGGAGAGCACCTCCTTGCTCCATCCGACGCTGTAGGACGGGCTGCCCCAGTGGGTACCACACTGAGGTGGAGGGGAGGGAAGGCCACTGAGGACATGGCCATGGGGGGGGGGCCCTGCAGGGGAGAGGGGGGCGGGGAGGAAGGGGACAGAGGGTGGGCAGGAGGCGGGGCAGGACTGGGGGGAGAGATCCCAGGGCCCCCCTGGCGGTGGCGCCCACCTGCACTGGCGCCTCGGCCGCGCACTCACCTGGCCCTCCCGGAGGATGTTTCTGAGCAGCGGCAGGTGCTCTGGGGTGAGGTCCCGCAGCGACCTGATCCCCCGGCGGTGGCAGATGGCGATCAAGTAGAGGTCATCGAGCTGCAGAGAGTCAGGGGCAGAGTGGAGCGCGCCGTGGGCGCCACTGCGGGCCAGGCCGGGGGTCCCCGAGGAGGCCGGGGCAGACCCCACCATCCACCCGGACACCCCGGGTGGGGCCCAGTCTGAGGGTCAGGATGATCCCATGGGAGTGTGAGGCCTCCCGGGGGTTCCACAAAGCACCGTGGTCGGTCCTTCCCCTCCTCCCGCCACGGTCCATCTCCTCTTCCAGTTCCCAGGTTCCGCAGTGCAGCTGGCCCTGAACAGCTCGAGTGCCCGGGCCACAGTGCCCATGCTCTGGCAGACAGACAACATGAACTTGCGGGAATGACAAACTGCACGGGGCAGCAAGGGGACTCTCTCTTAAGATTCTTTAATTTTTTTCTGATGGCTTTTTTATTTGTTTGGGGGGCTATACCTGGTGATGCTCGGAGTTTACTTCTGGCTCTGTGCGCAGGGGTCACTCCTGACAGGGTCCCGGGCACCAAATGGAGTACCAGGGACTGAATCCTGATTAGCTGCACACGAGGCCAGTGCCCGGCCCACTGGACCATCTTTCCAGTCCTTTTTCTCTTACGATTGACTTTAAAATGGTATTCTCTTCTCTCTAGCTTGGATCCTGTTTTGTTTTGCTTATGTTTGCGGTCACAGCTGGTGTTGCTAAGGGCTTACTTCTGACAGAGACGATCAGAGATAGCAAAGGCTGAGGGCTGGGACTGGAGCAATAGTACCATGGGGAGGGTGCTTTCCTTGCACATGGCCAATCCAGGCTCAATCCCCAGCACCCCATACAGTCCCCCGAGCCCACCAGGAGTGATCCCTGAGTCAGCCAGGAGTGAGCCCTGAGCATCACTGGGTGTGGTCCCCAAACCACAGATGAAAATGAAAACATAGGGCACGAGGTGGGGAGAGTGAGGAGGGGCTGAGAGGGACGGGAGAAGGGCAGACGCACGGCCAGGCACAGCGAGGACCCCCGGAGTTCTGCCGGACCCCCATCTCCCTGCCAGCCCTCCTGAGGGTTACAGTAGGCCCGGCTGAAAGACGACCGTGAAGCAAAGAGCCAAAGGCAACCGCATGTGCATCGGAAAGCAAAGACCCTCATCCTGTGGCCCCTCGCCCTGTGGTCCCTCGCCCCAGCCTGGCTGACCCCATCGACTGGGGCACCAAGGAACGGGGGTGCAGGAGGGGTTGGACCAGGGCATGGAGAGATTCCAGGAGCACCCTGTCCTACGGCCTGCCGCTCTGCTGTTCTTCCAGATCATCTGGGGGTCATTCTTCCCCCCCACCAGCCTCCTGAGGCCCTGATCTAAACCTCACCCGAGAAGGACATTTCCCATCTGGCCGCTCAGCTGACGCCCAGCTGGGCCCTGGTGCCTTCACGCCGCGGCTGCTCCTGCCACAGCTGCAGGCATCTGGGCTCGGTGGCTCTGACCGGCTGCAGACGAGTCGGGGGCTCACGGCGAGAAGAAGGCGCCCGAGCTGGGTCCCCCGTGACCCCCACGAGCCCCGAGACGTGGCTCAGGCCTGGCACACTGACCCCTTGGTTCCGGGATGGCGGCAGGAAAGCTGGGGCCTGACCTGGGAGGGTGGGGCGGGGTGTGCCCCGGGGCCGCCGGCTGCTGTGTGCGTCACTGTCACTCCCAGCAAACAGTGGCACTTATCTAGGCTCCTGGGCACTGCACGAAATGACATCTCTGCTCAGCGAGCCTTGAAGGCTGGCGCCTGGCATGAGACACGGGCTGGGCACAGGGTGGCAGGAGCCCAGGGCCTTGTGTGTGTGGGGGGGGGGAAACGCCCTGGTCTAGGTTATCTCCTGACCCAGAAACCTTCTCTGTGATGGCAGGTGCGACCTCCCCAGCCCCAGGTTTTCTGCAGACAGACCAAGGGCACCCCTCTGCCCCCAAAAGCTGAGATGATTGGAAACGGGGGGGGGGGGGGGGGGTTGCCAACGGGCACCCGGCGGAAGACTCCATTGCTTTTTGCCAGGAGTTAGAGACCTCAAAATGACAGTTGCTCCCTGGCCAGCAGCAAGAAGGGGGCGGAATGACGGGAGCCAGAGTTCTCGGGAGGCGACCACGGGGGAGTGAATGTCTGATGCCCCCCATATGTGCGGATGCGTGTGTATTCGCAAGACCAACAGCCAGAAGCTGTGAGAGCAGCTGCAGGCAGGGCAGAGACCCCCATGTCCCACCCTGGCTGTACTGTGCTGGGGGTCCCCAGTGCCTTGAGCAGACAGCAGACAGACAAGTGCCTCATCCCAGGGAGCCCCACCATAAAAGCACCTGTGAGCACCAGCGCTGTGCAGTGAGCCCCTCCGGGAGACAGCCCAGAGTGAGGAGACAGGCCTGGGTGCAATCTGGGTATGAGCCTGGAGTGGCCCCTGGGCCCCTGGAGCCCTGCCTGGGAGGCTCCCTGCTCCCCCACAAAAAATAAGTGTGCAACAGTGGAACACTGTGACCGTGAGCAAGTCCCACGATCAGACAGGCTGCTGGGGGAGGGTCCGGGGAGGCAGAAGCGGCGGGACCCTTCGTCAGGGAAGAGGACAAGTGTGTGATCCAGAGCTGAGGGGGTGGGCGGGGCCTTCCATGGGGCGACCCATGCTCCGACCCAGCAGTCTCGGGTTCCCAGGACACTGCCAGGGGTGACCCCGAACAAAAGCCACCCAGAGCGAGCCCCAGGACTGAGCACAGTGGGAGGCAGAGTCCGGCTGGCGCTGAGCTCTACACTGAGAACCTGCGGACAATGGACAGGTGGATGGACAGACAGACCGACTGTCTCTTTCATCCGGGGCCAGGCACTGGGGGTGATGAGGGAGAATAAAGCTGCACTTCTGAGACAAGGACAGTCAGGGGGCTGGGGGGGGGGGGGGGAGGCTCCAGGGAGGTTGGGAAGGCACCTGCACACCAGGGCCTGGCACCCCCGTCCTGACGCTCCCTGGTGAGGGCTGCCAGGTGCGGCCAGTCTGGCATCTCTGTCTCAGGCTGCTGTGGACAGCTCAGAAACAATCAGCGAGAGAGGCTGGAGTGATAGTACAGTGGGTAGGGCGCTTGCCTTGCATGAGGCAGACATGGGTTTGATCCCCAGCATCCCACATGGCCCCCTGAGCAACACCAGGAGTAATTCTTGAGTGCAGAGCTAGGAGTAACTTGAGCATCGCAGGGTGAGACCCAAAAAGCCAAAAAAAAAAAAAAAAAAAAGCAGCTGGGATGTTGCCCCTCCCCGCCTCCCCCCCCCGCCCCCCAGGTGGTAGCCCAGGGGAGCCTGGCAGGACTCGTGGGTCCCAGGGTGCATCGCCCAGCCCTGTGGCCATGAGGCAGTGACCGTCTGGGCCCAGCTCAGGTTGGCAGGCAGGAAGGAGAGGCCTGTACTCTGTGGTCTGGGGGAGGTGGGTCTTCAAGCAGGCCTGCCCAGGAGCAGATGGTAGGGTGGGTTTGGAGAAGAGACCCCCAAATCCCTCCAGAGCAATCCCGGCTTCCTCCAGGTGGGAGGTGGGGCTGAGACTGGGGGAAAGGGGCTGTGAACAGGCTCCATGCCCTAGAGCACCCCTAGAGCACCCCAGCCCGAGGGGGAGCTCTCTGCTTCAGCCTCACAACCATACTGGAGAGAAGAGGCAAGCCGGGGTGTGAGGGTGGGCTTTTTTGGTGGGGGGAGGGGGGGACTGGGGACTCTGGTGGCGGGAAATTGGAACATTGTATGATTGAACCCCAATCAGGAAGCTTTGTGATTCTCACAATGTTGAATTCAATTAAACAAACAAAACCAAGCACTGTCCTCCCGTTGTTCATAGGTTTGCTCGAGCGGGCCCAGTAACGTCTCCATTTTGAGACTTGTTGTTACTGTGTTTGGCATCTTGAATATACATCACAGAGAGCTTGCCAGGCTTTGAAGCGCGGGCGAGATACTCTCAGTAGCTTGTCGGGCTCTCCGAGAGGGGTGGAGGAATCGAACCCGGCTCAGCCGGGCTGGCTGCGCGCAAGGCAAACGCCCTACTGAGGTGCTATCGCTCCAGTCCAAAGAAGTCCGAAAGTAGTGAGTGGTCGCAAGGTCAACCTAAAGTCAACCTGCAGCAAACTATAAACTAAACTCCTGGATGTACTTGAATTCAATTTAAAAAAAAAAAAATCACACCAGGGTCAGCACCTTCTTGTTTTTCTGTTTGTTTGTTTGTTTCTGGGTCATACCCAGCAGTGCTCAGGGCTTACCTCTGGCTCTACACTCGGGGATCCTTCCTGGAGGGCTCGCGGGCTCCAGGGATCAAAGCTGGGTCGGCCGCGTGCCAAGGCAGCTCTTCCCAGATCCCATCTCCCCGGCCTCCCCTGGGTGCCGGCTGTCAGCTGTCCTTCTCTCACGTCTGTGTCCCTGAATCAAACCTGCTCCTTCTCTGCAGTCCCCAGAGCTTCATTCTTGATGGGGACAGAGTGGTGGCGGCAGGCCCAGAAACCCCCATCCCCAAGCCAAGCAAGCGTCGGGGCAGCAGCTCTACCAGGGTTTGACCACAGGCCCCAAGGTCACGCCAGAGGCAGGTGTGTCCACATAGAGGCCTCGTCCCCACCTCAACCCGCTCTGAGCATCTGTCATCACATGGGGGGCACAGGAACGGGGGGTGGCATGGCGCTGTACCCCAAGCTTGGGTGACTCGATTGCATCTGGGGGCCATGGAGTATGCAGCCCTCCCCCACCCCAATTTCCTACTCAGCTTTCAGGGAAACTCCACCAGGGAGAGCTGGGGGTGGGGTGGGGCACCGGGGCAGGGAGGGGTCCCAGAGAACTGGGACCAGCGGGAGCGTGATGGATGGCCTGGTGTGGGAGTGGGGACAGTGACCACCTGAACACCTCTCCGGGGCTCGTGGAGGCCAGGGACCTCTGGTCTCCGTGGGGTCGGCCTGGACCTGCGACTGTCGGGGGAGAGAGACAGCCAAAAGCCCCCCAGAGCCCCAGGGGCTGGGAACGTGGAGTGCACTTGACTGAGGGGTTTTCTGCAGCCCCAGAGGGGCACAAGGAAGGGCCGAACCCCGGGCATTCATGTGGGTATCAGCGCCCAAGTGCGATTCTGATCTGATCTGCCTGGGGAGGGCACCGCCCCCTCCCCCGCCCCCCACTGGGCAGCCCCCATCACCGCCCTGTACCTGCTGCTGGTTCCACTTGAGGTCAGGGATGAGGACGAAGCCGTCCACGGGGTCCGGGTTCTCAAAGACAATGCGGTCAGCTTCCGCCTTCTTGTCGAGGATGTTGTACACCCACTGCAAGGAGAGGGGACAGGGTCACGGCACCCCCGGGGCAGCTCTGTCCCACAGGCCACCCGGGGAAGCTCAGCTTTGTCTCACTGGCCACTTTGGGCAGTTCTGTCCCACTGGCCACTTTGGGTAGCTCGCTCTATCCCACAGGCCACTCAGGGCAGTTCTGTCCTGCCGGCCACTTGGGGCAGGCTCAGCTCGGTCCCACAGGCCACCCGGGGCAGCTCTGTCCTGCCGGCCACTCAGGGTAGTGCTCCGTCCCTCTGTCAGCACCCAGGGTGTTGCTTCGCAGGCCCTTTCTCACGCTCCCCGGGGCAGGCTGAGGTCTGCGGCGTCCACGTGAGGGCTCCTGCCCGCTGGGGTTCTGCCCCGGGATCACACGTCTTTGCCAACACAGCCAGGGCAGGACACAGCACATGACGGCCGAGGCGCCAGGCGTCTCTTGTGGACCCTGTTTCCGGCCCTCCCTCCACCCCGGGGTCAGCCGCCTCTGCCGCCCATCTCAGGGAGCTGTGCTGGGGGGCCGCGTGTCACCACGGGGGGGAGGGGCCCAGTGGCCTTTCTGAAGCGCCTGGCTCCTTCCCGCTGGGGTCAAAGCTGCGGGGCCTCTGCAAATGCAGCTTCCTCCAAGGTCAGGCGCTCTCGGCCATGAAGCAGAGTGAGCCAGAGAGCGGGTGAGGGGGGCCGCGGCACAGCTCCAGCCAGCCAGCCAGAGCGCAGCCAAGGTCAAGGGCAACAAGCCCAGGCCTAGCGCCCCTGGTGTGGGGTGTGGGGGGAGGGGGGGCGGTCCCTTGCCAGGGAGTGTCAGGGCCCACCACAGCCCTGCTCAGGCCACAGAGTGGTCACACCGCGGGTCCCGCCAGAAGATGGGCATCCCAGCAAGAGCCTGGCTGGGCCCCCTCCTGGGGGGGGGGGGGGTCCTATCTCGGGCTGCCTGGGAGAGGCCCCACTGTACTTCCTTCCCCCCTGGGAATCTCTCCAGGAGTCTGGCCGAGACCTGACCTGCAGCACCCCAAACTGGGGGTGGGGGGCGGGGGTGTGTGCTGGGGAAGACAAGGGGGGGGTGGGGAGCGCTTCTCTGTGGGGGGCCAGCCTAGGCCTGTGCCCACAGATGAGATCCAGCCCAGGACTGTGCGGTCAAGTGTGGGAGCAGCGCGAGCCTGGGCCCGTCCCCACCCTGCCCCCGGCGGGTCCCGGGGCAGCCTTGGGCATGGGCAGTTACACGGGAAGGTGACGGTGAGGAGCACCGGGAGGGCCCAGCACAGGGCGGGCCCCTGCAGCAGGCGGGGTGCTGTCGGGTAACCCCAACTCGAGCGAGGCCGGGCCTCCGGGGGGTGGCACTGAGGCGGAGGGTGGGGCGGGAGAGGGACAGGAGGTGGTGCTGATGCCGGGGTGGACGGCCGTGTCCTCTGGGTCCCCACTGCTCGGAGTCCATCTCAGCTCTGCTCACCGTGACCCCATGAGGAGGCGGGGCTGTGGGGACCCCCACACGGCAGAGAAGGAAATGAACCCAGTTCACTCCATCCCGGCCCTGATTCCAGATTCGAGGCCACATAGGAGAGGGGTCAGACCTCTGCCCCACCAAGACTTGGGCAGAAGCCCAGCGAGGGGCCAGGGGAGGGTCCCCAGCAGGGGCTGGTGATGTGGGGGAGGCCTGCCTGCCCTGAGCCATCACCCCCCTTACACCAATGGTTCCCTGGTCTCTGCCCTGGATAACACTGTCCAGACTGGAAACAGGCTCCGAGGGGGACAGGACCACCCTCTGGGGTGCTGGTTCGGTGACTCACACAGGCCTTCTCGGTGGACGGTCTCCACGCTCCAAGCTGGCTACCCAGAACCCGCAAATGTGAGGAGGGACACTGGGTGTGGGCTCAGGGCATGGACGCAGGTCAGGCAGGCCTGATGGCGGCAGTGGGGACTGAGAGACCGCGATGCAGCCGGAGCTCAGAGCACCCACTGCAGGCCCAGAAGGGCCCGGGAGGACTCGGGATCCCATGTCCCCGAGGCTGAGCCCCGTGGACAGGCAGCTGGGCAGCAGCACCAGAAGGATCCGGGGACCCCCAGTCTGGGAAGACAGGGACCAAGCCCCCTTGGGAAAGACATAGGAGTAAGTAGAGGATGGGGCTGGGGGTCGGGCCATCTTGGGGGGAATTTGGGCCACACTCACCGGGGCCCCACCCCCGTCGGGAGAGGAAACACAGGTTCCAGGGAGCAGGGCGCAAGCTCGGGAGACAGAGCCAGCGGCCTCATCCTTCCTGGTTACCTCTGAGCGGCCACCTGGGGCCACTCCAGGCAGAGGCACTGCTGGGCACGGGATGATGGGAAGTCGGGCTCACGGCCACAAGGCCGACACATGCTGCAGACCGGGCACATGGAGCTGCCCCAGGGGACAGGACTCCAGCCCGGGGAAGTGAGGGACACGTGAGGGAAGCTGACCTCTCGGACCCATGGCTGCAGGTGGAGAGAGTCAGTCTGGGTGCTGAGAATGGCCAGAGGGGTGGGCCATGAAGGCAGGGCCCCGGGGCCAGCCCTGACACACACAGTTCGCCCCCGAGCCCCCCCACCCAGCAGGACACGGGCACCCTAAGGCAGACGGCGCCAACTCCTGTGATGGGCCATCAGCTCCGTGCATCCCCAGCGAGCCTCAGGGCCTGCCCGAGACCAGGGGCGCCGTCCGGGGCCTCCTCAGTGATTCAACAGCCACCTCACCCCAAGATGCTCCACACTCCAGTGTCCTGGCGTGTGAAGGGGTGAGCTGAGGATCCGTGAGCGGATGCGTGTGTGTATGTGTGTGTGTGTGTGTGTGTGTGTGCGCGCACGCACGTGTGCAGGAGGGTTGTGTGTCTGTGTGGTGCTTGCATGGGAGAGGGCTGTGTGCGCGCACGTGCGCATACATGAGTCTGTACCAGGTGTGTGTGTGCAGAGGGCTGCCTGTGTGTGTGTACATGTGTGGGTCTGAGAGATGTGTGTGTCCGTGAAGTCTGTGGGACACGTGTATCTGCCTCTGGAACCAGAGCCCTGCCCAAGGAGGTGGGCTCTGGGAGGCAGGAAGTCCCACATGCGCTGCGGGAGGGGGACCCCAGTGAGAGACCCAGGGCCCCGGGGCCACGCTCAGGCCGACTCCACGGGCGCGTCACCTGGATGCTAAGACTCTGGGACTCCAGGTGTGGCAGGGTGACGTTCCTGTAGTCGGCCCCCGTCTCGCGGACCAGCCGGAGGTCCTGGCGCAGGTACTTCTGGAGGTGCTTCTCGGTGGCTGGGTACACCACAGTCGTCTTGACATCTGCAAGGACAGTATGTGGCTGAGGCTGCCATCTGGGGCCCCCGCGGGTCCCGTCCTGCCACTATGCCTGCCCGAATACGGGGTGCAGGACCACAGGGATGCCCACCACCATTCCCAGGCCCCTTCTGCAAGAATACGGCAAACAGGAGGCTGCAGAACGCGGCTGGACCCTCGCTCCCCTCTCTGGGGTCCTGCCTGTGTGCTCCACCCCACGGGGGGGGCTGAGGGGTCGCAGAGCCTGTTCCCCTCGCTGGACCCAGAGCGCAAGAGTCTGGGTTAAACCCAAACGGCCTCCCTGGGGCTGAGGACGAGGCCCCTCCCCGCCTGTCCCCACTCAACCCCAAGCAGGACCCTGACCCTGGCCTCACGCTTTGACCCCCCTGTGCCCCGACTTCCCCCGCTGTCAGCTGATGCTCAATCACACCCCGGGGCTGGGCAAGCTCCGGCCTGCAGAGGCCGAACAATGTCTCCTTCAGAGGAGACGCTACGTCAGGCCCGACGGCTCAGACCGAGTCTCTCCCACGTACCAGTCCCATGCCTCGCTCACTCATCCTGGCATGGGGCTGTCCTGAGCAGGCCCGCGGGTGTTGCAGGCATCACGGGGCACACACTGCCCCTCACATGTCCGCAGACCCTGCCCGAGCTCCCCGCAAAGGGGGCAGCCCCGCCTGAGAGCCGCTCCTGTTCTCGACAAGTGCCGCCCCATCCCAGGGAATGTCCTTCTCACTCACTGCCCAGCAGCTGCTGCTGGACCAGGGGTGCTCCCAAGCTGTCTAGGGGGGCCCCCAGGACTAGGCAACGCTCCGGCTTCCCCTGGAGTGGGGACCATCAGGGACACACCGAGAGGGACCAAAAGCCAGGGGGCCACACCTGACACCCTCCCATGGACACTAGAGCCAACAGCAAAGCAGGCCACTGTGAGCGCTCCGGAAACTCTCACCCCACACCCCAAGGCCCAACTCAGAGGCAGCAAACTGAGGGCTTGAGTGTGCAGACTCCCAGGGGCTCAGGACGTCGGTGGGAAAGGGACGTCCGCCCATCCCAGCCACACCGCCTCGGGTCCCATCTGTCTCCCAACAGCCCAGTGTGGTCAGGCAGTCTGGACTTCCGGGTGGGATAAAGGTCCAGGGGCTCAGGCACGGGTGCAGAGCACAGCGGGCAGGGCACCTTGGTTGCGCCCAACCTGGTGAAGGTGCTGGTAAACCTGCCCCCGGATGTGAGTCACCCGTGTCGGCAGGACAGCTGGAGGTGCCCGGTAAATGTCACCCTACTTCCTGGGCACTCCAGTCTCAGCCTGGGCGGAAGGTCTGGTTCGTCCCTCCTGGCACCACCCTGCTCGGCGACATCATGTTTCTCCCTCACTGGGGGATATCTGGACTTTCCCACCACTTGGATAGCTCAGGTCGTGGGTCAGAGGTCAGAGGTGAAGCACCTCAAGAGGCAGGAGACAGTTCAGACACAGAGAATGGTGCGGCGCTGAAGGCAGCTGGGCGGAGAAGGACTGAGACTCGGATTTGGGCTCGCCGCCTGCTCCCCAGGGGCTGTGCAAGCTGGGATGGCAGTGGGGGGGTGGGGGGAGCGCTCTGAACGCGCCCCCTCTGGGGCACGGCTGGCTCGGCAGTACAGCACTTGCCGTGCCGGAGAGCGAGCGTGGATTCAATCTCCAGCATCCCCGACCCCGCAAAATAAGTAAATGAAAATAATAGGGGCTGGAGTGATAGCACAGCGGGTAGGGCGTTGGCCTTGCACACGGCCGACCCGAATTTGATTCCCAGCATCCACTATGGTCCCCTGAGCACTGCCAGGAGTCATTCCTGAGTGAAGAGCCAGGAGTAACCCCTGTGCATCGCCAGGTGTGACCCAAAAAGCAAAATAAATAAAATCCCACCTGTGCACACATACGCGGACACACAGAACTGAGTTAGTTCTATGCACACATCTATGCAGCACTGAGGTTGCATGCATGAACACCCAGCTCCTGCATGCAGGAGGGAGTCTGCTGTATCCAGCACTCAGCATTGCAGACCTCGCACGCGTGCACGCAGTGCTGAGCTCACACACTGGCCTACTGGGCAGTGTCCACTACTACTTGTTACTCCGGCTGGCAGTGGGAGACTGTGAGTAATGGCGCTCCCCGAGCCCGGGTGGGGATCCCAGCAGGGACAGCACCGTAGATCTGTTGGCCTGGGAGACAGGGTGCCAGGCTCTCAGCACATAACTCCCACTGTCACACATCGGAAAGAAGAGGCGGCGAGGATGGTCCCACCTGGCCTGGGTGCCCCTCCTGGGCCCAGCCTTCCCCTTAGCACTGGGGGTGAGTGACACAGACTTCCATCCTACCTCTGGTCTGGGTGGTGGCAACCCCATCACTTCCCAGGGGGCCGGGCCATGCTGGAATCAGCACGGTCTGTGTCTTCTAAGGAGTTACTCATGGTCTGTACCCCGGGGCCCCTGGGGTACAGCTCCAACCACTCACGGGACACTCCACTGACACCCAGCACCCGGCAGCCCACCACCGAGCCTCGCTGCTCCCTGCCTCGAGTTTCCTCTCTGGGGTAGCCCTGGCCACAGGAAGTCTGGCTCCTCTGACCCTGCCACAGTTCCTTGGGAGTTTCCCTTCATGCTTCCCTAGGAACCGTTTCGCCCTCTGCACCCGGGCTATCATCAAAAAAGCACCGATACAGGATGTGGCTCTGCAGGCTTTAAACCAGGAAGAACATTCACTGTTGACCCGAAAGAGAGGGGGAAAGAAATGATAAGTCAATAGACTCCCCCGAGAGGGGAGTGTGAGCAAACCCAGGGTCTGAATGCACACCACCAACGAGACACGGCGGAACTGCACAGGAATTTGGTCAAGAGTCAGTGCCCAACCCTTGGCGTGAAAATATGCCGGAGAACTGCACAGCCAAGCACAGTCTCAAAAAATACCTCCCAGAGATCGCCCCATGAGCACGGAGGGAAAGCGTGGACAGCCTGGCGAGAACACGGCTCTCTGAACAGGACAAACTGACATGGCAGCCTCCGGAGGGAGGGGCCTGGAATTCCGGCCCAGACGATGAAGCAATAGCACAAACCCCTCCAGGGACGTTCTGTGAAACAAGAGGCTCTTTGGAAGCGTGCCACGAGTGTGTGGGGCGCGGAGGGCAGTCACGAGAGAGGAGGGACCACTGTGACAAGGAGAGTCGGAAAGGATCACACTGGATGGGACGTGAGGGATAACCTGTCAGTATCTGTATCGTAAACCATAATACCCAAAAGGGGCGGGGGGGGGAGAGAGAGAGAGAGAGAGAGAGAGAGAGAGAGAGAGAGAGAGAGAGAGAGTCAGAGAGAGAGGCAGAGAGCGAGAAAGAGAGAGAAAGAGAAAGAGAGAGAGAGAGAGAGAGAGAGAGAGAGAGAGAGCCTGCCATAGAGTCATGAGGGGCTGGGGACAGGACAGAACCTGGGGACACTGGTGGTGGGAAACGGACACTGATGAAGGGGCGGGTGTTGGAACACGATATGACTGAAGCCCAGTCATGAACAACTCTGTAACTGTGTATCTCACGGTGATTCAATTTAAAAATTTAATTAATTAGGATATTAAAAAAAGAAATCCCACCCCCCAAAACAAGAGCCTTTTGAGGGGAAACAAGGCTGATTCAAGGGCTGTGGGACTTCGGGGCTGGGGGCAGACGTGGCCGAGTCCTGCCCTGGAGGAGTCGGGGCAGCTCCATAGGACCAGGAACAGCCTCCCAGGCTCCTTAACCGTTTCCGGGACACGCAGGCCGACGTGCTTAGCCGTGAGGCATCAATAGGCCTGCGATGTGCCCGTCAGTGGACAGTGATGACACCACCTAAGTCTGTGCAGAGGGCGTGGCACGGGTGCAATGGAAAAGTTAGGGGCAGGGCTGGTACCGGGGTGCGCTGGGCACTTCCTCACGCCGCTCTGTAAGACTGGATGGTTTCCAAAATAAAGTTTGGTGACTTTTTTTTTGGGGGGGGGGTTAGGCAATGCTCAGGGGTTACTCTTGGTTCTATGCTCAGGAGTCACAGCTGGCACAGCCGGCAGTGCTTGGGGGACCCTATGGGATGCTGGGGATCAAACCTGGGTCCGCTGCTGCAAGGCAAACATCCTCCCTGCTATGTTCTATCTGTTTTATTGTTTGCTTGTTTTAGATAAAATACTGATTCACTGTGAACTCTTGGTGGGAGCTGCTAGCAGCTCTGTCAGGTGCTGATCTTACAGGCCCTCTGCCTTCATCCACCCTTTCCCTCCCCTCCCCCACTCCCTCTTCCTTTCTTCCCCCACCCCTTCCGTCCTCCCGTCCTCCCCCACACCTCCTCCCCTGACCCTCCCTCTCCTCCCCTCTTCACCCCCCTCCCCTGCTCCATCCATCTTTTTCTCCTTCATTCACTTGCCCTCATCCATGGCTCTATACCTTCCTTGTTCAATCATCCCTTCACTCTTCACTCTGTCAGGCTGGATTGTTTCCAAAACAAACTCTGATAACATTTGGTGTTTTGGGTTTTTTTGTCAGGGTTTGGGGAAAATAAGGGGGGGGGGATGAGGGGCTGTCCAGTCCACCCAGACCCCTTGGGCAGAGGATGCTTGAGCCCTCCTCTGCTGACTCCCATAAAAGGTAACTTCAGAGTCCCCACCAAGCAGCTCGCTCCATGCACAAACTCCCCCGCCTCCGGTTGGGATCCTTACAAAGGAGCTTGGAACAACGCCCCAGTCAGGTCAGTCCTGTCAAGGCACTTCCTGGAGCACTGCAGAAAGCCTCTCGCACCTTTCCTTCTGTGAGCTCCAACTGCGGGTGTGCCTGCTCAGGACGGGGGTCCGCAGAGCTTTCTGCAGCTTTCTGAAGCCCCCTTCGGGCGCTCTCCTAGCCACACCATTACACTGTGGGGCCAGAGAGACATACAGCGGGGAGGGGGCTTGCCTTGCATGCGGCCAACCGGGGTTCGATCCCCGGCATCCCATGTAGTCTCCGGAGCACCACCAGGAGTGACTCCTGAGT